ACACGAAACTTCATAGCTCCATTTAGGGGTGTGAGGTATCATTTGAAGGCGGGTGGTCGGGGAAATTTAGCCCAACAAAATGCAAAGGACCTCTTCAATCTTCGGCATTCATCTCTCCGGAATGTTATTGAACGTGTATTTGGTGTGTTGAAGAAAAAAATTTCTCTCTTGAAAGTGGCAACAACATATCCTTATGAAACACAAGTTAAGATATTCGTTGCTGCTTGCACTTTACATAATCATATCCGAACTATATTCGTTGCTGCTTGCACATGGATCAGTTGAAGGAACAAGTATTGAATATAACAATGTAAACCCTCAAGCTGATAAAAATGATGGCGATGAACGGTAAGATCGTATTGCTAAAGCACTTTGGGATGATTATTGTGCTCACTATTGATCATAATATGGCACATAAATATAATTGGTTGTAATCTTGTTTTCTATTATTCTATTTCGTGGCAAAATTTCTAATACTTTGAATTATAATATTAATTACTTGGGGTATCGTTCATGGTTTATGGAAAGAGTGTGAAACTCTCTTTTTTAAAAATCCAAATTTTCATTCTCCCCTCTATGCCCATGAAATTTATTAAACGCATGAAAGTACGTACTTTAAAATCAAGGTTGGGCAAAACTTTTTTATTTAATAAGAAAAATAAAAAAAAATAGGAATTTAGAAATTATTACAACGCATCTAAACAGACATATCTGGCATATAAAATTTTCTTCTCATATGTTAATAGACATCCAAACAGTCTACCAACATTATAAAATAAAACAGTAATATTTCTCAATTGTGGAGGAAAAAAATTGCATTTTTTTCAATGTAAGTTTTTTTTTCTTTGACATCCAAATTGGGCCTAAGCTATTTTAAAATACCAATAAATAAAAGATATTAGCAAAACTTTCCTTTTATGCTCAATTGTCTTTCGTTCCTCTTAACACAAATTGAAAGCAAATAACGAGTAGCACGTCATTCAATAGTCCGTACTTCTCCAAGTCCACAGCATTCCGAATAAGAACAAAGGGAAAATTTTACGTGCCGCGCCACCAACCGCCTGGTCTAAATGAATTAATATTATTACTTCTGCCATGATGTCAAGCCAAATGTTGTTTGATTTTTAATTTTTTCTATGAAACATTTTTAATTGATTTTTGGAGCTTGTTCTCACCTTATTATGGAGTACGCAGTAGAAAAAATATATAGTTTTAAATAAATATTAAATAACCAAACTGTCCCTATATATTCCCTAGGTATTTTATTTACGAAAAAGTACATTATTAGACCATTTATCTTTAGTACAAGTGATCACAATTTATCTTGATTGTTATCTGTGAAATTAGACGGTTGCATTCATTTCATTGACCAAGCTCAAATTTCAAAAGAAACTTTCTTCAAATCTAAACTATCAGATTTCACATCGGATGGTTGTAAGAAATTATGATCTCCTTGTATCAAAGGTAAATGATTTAATGTCCGATACATTTTTCAACTATTTTTATCAAGTGTGCCCCTTAGGGCTCTACACAATCCAAACTTTAATCCGTAATGATTTATAAAAAGGTGCAAATTTTATAGGGCCTAGGCTTTGAACCATCAAATTAGAGCCTACCTTCAAATAGTTTCGAGAAATATGGTTTCAATACTGGAAATATATGCGAAAGCCTTAAAATGTATTTTCATCTTTATTTATAAAATTTAAAGCTTCAAAAATAGTATAGATCAATAGATCTATGAAAACTTGAAAATTTTTCCAAAAAATACGTTACAAAATACATTTCTTCCAAAACTTGAAATCCATTTTTCTCTTGTGTTCATACCTCTTGATGCCGAGATGATCAATTCGAAGATACTTAGGCATAAAAACATCTTCTAGTGAAAATTTTTAAGTAGGTTCTTATTTGATTGTTTAGAGCCTCAGCTCTACATAAACTTTTCGTTTTATAAAATAAAAGACAAAAAATAAACACTCTAAACCGTCAGCTCATGATATATTACTTAAGCGAGCTAACTTGTGACATTGCCATCCATCCAAATGAACAACTGAGAACGAGAGTTAGATATAATATGTGAGTGGCACCTCATGTAAAGTCTTCCCTTATAACAATCACCAGCAAAAGAGGAAATTAAACGATATGTGAAAGGGAAAAGTATATTATTGTGATCGAAATCCCAGAAAATTTTTCTCGACTCTGTACAAAGAGATGCCATATCCCAGGCCGCTGATTTTGCATTAGACGGATTGGGGTGTTTATGACCTTGTGGTCTGAAAGGCACTCATTCTCATTATCTACAATCCTAAATACAGATAACCAGCATGCCAATTGTGGCCATTTTCTCTTCCTATTCTGTCTTACCCATAAAAATAACTTAGAAAAACAAAAAATCACACATGAAAACACTTAACAAAACCCCTCATCATAAAACAAGTAACATGGATCAGTTTTGGGGTTTTGCTTTCATAAGAAAGAATGAAAGAGGTTTTAGTTTCATAGGCCAGAATTCCCAAGCACCATCTCTACATCCTGCAATCACAAAACCAAAATACTTGCTCAGCAAAAATAACAGAGAGAAAAACTGAAGAAGAATGAAACAGAACTTAAAACATGAAAAGTGAAACAGTCACGCATGGATGAGTGCACATATTCATGGATGTGTCAAGTCTCATGTAAGCCTTGTTTCCTTCAAAAACTTCAACAAGCCTTTTTCTTTTGGAATCATATAGGCAGAGCAAGAATCCAGCGTTTATTGTGGTTAATTGTACGCCCAAACATATTCACGTCTTGGGTCTGCACAAGGCAAAGTAATATGGAGATTTCTCTAGAACAGCAGCAATATTTATTAAAACAAACATGCAGACATGCATGCACACATACACGAACACACATGGATATATATGATGTTAAGTGTGGGTGACCTCCTGGAAAGTCCTTGTATCATGCCCCTTTTAGAAATTTATTCAAGAAAGAGTCCATGGGACCAATATTCTTAGAAATATTTCTTAAGAACAGCAGCACTAATAAGATGGGTAGCTCAGATGATGATGTTTCGATAGTTAGGACCATCGATAGAAATTCGGCCAAAAGCTGTATGGCTCATAAGGTACAATTTAAATGACAGTTGACCACCGGCATAAGAAAAAATTACCCAGCTATGCAATTGCATACATTCCCACATGTAGCATCGGCATTTTAAGAAAATAATGTGGCTCTTTGCTATAATTTTTGTTTTCTTAATTAATTTTCTGTTATAGCAAATACAATTTCATATATGCGTTTGTAAAATGAGCATTTCTTATAGGTAGGGTTTAGTTGCGTCGAGGGACGCACCTGTTATAGGGAGTCCACCCTTCCAATCCAAAACTTTTCAAGTTTATTATCTCAATCAACATGATCATCAATCTGAAAATAAATAAATAGGTAACTAAATTTTGAGCCTCAAAATTGGTCCATCTTGTACCCTTTGTTGTGGACTGTTCATTTAAATTCTACCAAGATCATTAGAACTACATTGTTTTTGAGGGTCCAAATTCATGGATCTCAGACATAAATGTTGCAGTGATCTGGGATGTGTTACAGGTCCTAAAACCCTTGAAAACCAGTGTGGATTCAGTAGACTCATCAAAAACTTTTCCCAGTTTAAATACAATGCTTCAAGAGACAATGAGACCCCAACTCACTTCCGCGGAGTAGGGGTAGAGAATTCCATACCATAGGATCCAGTACCACAAGTGTTTCAAAACTGAGAGAAAATTCATGTATTATATCCATTTACCAAGTTTAATGGGCTGACCCCAGTGATCAAATGGTATTATCAAGGATATGAAAAAGTAAGTCTAATACCATGGATATAGCAGAAGCTTTAGACGACTCATTTTCATCTCTTTTTGTATTTCTTAAACAAAAATCTACTTGCCTGCACCCGTGCTATAGAATTTGGATTTATGAAGAACTTGGTAAGCTCACAATTTCAGCTGAAATTGAAAGCATACAGAGTTAATCAGGAGAGAGGAAAAAAATGTAACTCAACTGGTACAAAACCAAGATAAATGGGACATAGAAACTAAATCAGCACCAAGCCTTTTTCTTTTTCTCTTTGTTGAGTACAGGAGGCCTCATTTCCTCTTTTCTAGTTTGATGTCAAAAGTGAAATACGAGTTTTTAAAGTCCAGTTCCCCATTTAAAAAGAACACATCTCTTTTTTTTATTTTTTTAGAATACGTTCTTCTTTAACAATTGACAACAAAAAGAGAGGAAAAAAAAACTCGATAATTATTTCTCATTATCTATATGGAACTTATGCTTGGAGTCCTGCAAGGCTTATGTTGCTAGAAAGAGAGAGCAACTTATAAACCATGTTGAACTACTCTTAGCATTTTCAAATTAAAAGCTTATGCAACTATGAGGGGACCAACAACTTCAAAGCAATTCCAAGATGCTGCATTACGTGTTCCAAGAACAAATAATAGCAAAACCTAAACCATAAAGTTCAATAATAAATAAATAAATAAAAGTGATGCCAAATTTGAGCTTTTCAATTTTGAACCCCCTAAGGCAGGATGATGAATAAAACAAACTATGGATTAACTTTGTGCACATGGTGTATTCCCAACATACCCATAGGATGAGTGTACATGGTATACACTCATCCTACGGGTGTGATCAAGAAACAACATACGCATAGGATGAGTGTAGCTGATATGAGGATGTTGAGATGGATGAGTGGCAAGATAAAAAGGGATAGAATTTGAAATGACTACATTCAAGAGAACTTAGGTGTGACTCCAATAGGCGATAAAGTGAGAGAAAATAGACTTAGGTGGCCTGGCCATGTGCAGCACAGACCCAGTAAAACACTTGTTAGGAGGTACGAGTTAGTTCAAGTGGAAAGCTAAAAATTGGCAAGAGGTAGACCCACAAAGAGATGGTTGGAAGTAGCGAGAAAAGAAATGGGGACTTGGCCTCAGTGAAGGTATAGCCCTTGATAAGCCAGGATTCGTGTAGCCAACCCCAAATAGTTGGGAAAAGGCTCTACTGATGATGATGATGATAATGACATGGTCTATTTCCAAACTAAAAGCAAGGAGCAATTACCTTATCAAACATTGACTAGCTTTGCACGGCCACTCTTTTGGTCAACTTGCACCTTCAATCCTAGCTGAGAAATTTCAGGTGTATCAACTGATCCTAGAAGCTCCAATTCAGATGCCTCTCTTTGGTTATCTAAATTTCCTTCCATCAAATTCCTTATGGCCCAAATGCCCCATTCTCTCAAATAAGGATTATCTTCATCCACAACACATTGCTGCATCATTAACAAAACACCTTTCTCCCTCCCAATTTCATCTTGCACATGTTTCCGATGATATGTGCAGTTCCCAATAATGGCAACTATATCCCTTCGAAATCCTTTGTATGGACATTTATTTTTTGGCGCAATAACTGACGCCCCTCCACTCTCACCTTCTTCTGTTGAGGTAAGCGATGCATTTTCATTTTCATGGTCCTCATTTGGCTTATCATTTCTAGATTGAGCTTGAGCTCTCTTGATAATGGCAGGGGGTTCCAAGTCACGAAGAAACCCTAACATCAGTTGTATCAGGCCAGAGTTAACAAGGGAATCAACAATTGAGGAACCTCGCATTTCTTGAGCCTCCTTTGTTGGTAGAGATAATTTCTCTGAATGTTTATTGTGGTGGTCCTCTAAAGCACATAACTCTCTCAAAATACTAATAGAATATCCTAAGATATTTATGACAGAAGATCCAGATGGTAAAGTAGGAGAAGCACCCGAACCCACTGGACAATCAAGAGTATTTGTAGAGAGAGAATCCATGGATCTTCCAACTCTTTTGACAATTTGAAGAAGAGAGAGAGCAAATTCCATGCAAATGCTTAGTTGGTTTCTTTGTTCATCCATGATATCCAAAAGCACAGTCAATAACCATGCTTGCATATCAGAAAAGTGGTCTTTAGACATAATTTCCTTGCTACCATTAGGAAAACTACATGAGCTCAAACCCCAAAACAATTGAGGGAAGTAGGGACTTTCAAAGCAAATGTATGACAGAAGCCACTGAGGCCATTCTTCTTCAATCCCATCTGGTCAAGTCAAGGACAAAAAATAGTGAGAACGAGCACCCAAATATCCATAATTTCAATCATGATTACTTCCTCTTGTTTTTATTTTTTTTTAAATTGTTAACTGTTGTATTAAAGAGGGGAAGAAGTAACCATGATTTTTTTTTGAAATCATGATTACTTTCTCTTTTTGTTTCTCTACATAGGTTTATTACAAGAAAAGATGCGCATTTTCTTTTCAGAAGAAATAGTAACAACAAGCACAGTATATTATGAAAATTGACAATCGATCAATATGAACAAAATCTAATAAAGCTATCACCACTATAATCAATTGACCAATTGTGCACTTAAAAAAGTGTAGCAAAAATTAGAAACCCAAAGATGGAGATACAGGTTCCCAAATAGAATGTCAATACACATCTAATATAGTCGAGACACATACACGAAAACATCCTATTTGTCACCCAAAAGTCCAATGGTTACAAGAAACAATACTACAAATTCACAAAAATTAGATAAACCCAACAAAATAAACAACAAGATATAAGCATACGAGTACAATAACGTAGAAACACATACACGAAAACATCCTATTTGTCACCCAAAACTCCAATGGTTACAAGAAACAATACTACAAATTCACAAAAATTAGATAAACCCAACAAAATAAACAACACAACAAGATATAAGCATACGAGTACAATAACATAGAAAATGCGACAAGAACGTAAGCAAAATACACGATAGTAAACAACCACAGAGTAACAAGATATACACAGAACACTGTGCACCATGACTAGAGGAAACTCATTTAGCCAATGGGCCATCATAATAAAGAACCAGAAATCAAATGCTCTAGAAATTTTGTGATGCTAGTCACTGTTCCTTTTTAATTTCCCACCTAACACATAAACACTAAATGCTAAATTTAAACTCTTGATACATTCCTGGGATTCATAACAGGGAAAATAGGAAATACAGGGCACTCAATTGGGAGAATACTAGAACAAGAGTTTCTAAACATAAAAGGAAATTCCTATGTGAATTTGGGAGAGAAAAACCCAGAAATACAGCAGAAATATAGTAGAAATCCTTGAACAGCTTAAAGAAATCAACAAGAAACCAATGTCATCACATAGTTTCCACAAGAAACTCCATGCAATTTCTCTCACGAATGAACTCAGAAGATGAAAAACAAAATGAAGGGGATGGAAATAGTAAATTCTCAGAATTCTAAGCTACCCATAAAATTGAGAGAGAGAGAGAGATTAAATAAGAAAATGGAAATTAAAAACACTCATTTACCTGAAACAATAGACCTAATTATGCCAGCCATTAAAGGTAAACCTGAAACTCCACATAATTCCTTCAATCTATGATCATTATCTCTGCAACAATTATAAATAATCATACATAAAGGCCCACATAGCTTAGAACTCTCAACCTCTGCAAATTTCTCAAAACCCTTGGGAAAAAGTTCACCCCAAATGGCCACTTTATGCCTTTCACCAGCTAAACCCACATTACCCAATATTTGCAGCCCCACCATGATGATATCCAACGCTTGGGGAGACATAAAATCCAAAGAATTCATGGTTACAGAGAGAAAGTGAGGACCTTGGTGGTCAATAAACGAGTCCTGGTTCATGGGTTCACCTGCACAAAGGTTTCTTAGAACTTTTAGGGAAGAGACGAGCCTAGAGCGGGTCAATTGGGCTCGAGAAGGACTCAATTCTGGCTCGATTTTTGGGGCCAAGTAGGTTCGGATAAGGTCTAGAAAGAGAGGGACGGCCCCTTTGGATGCAGCTTCTAGGCGGCCTTGTGGGGCTCTGGAGAGAGAAAGGAAGGACTCAATGGTGTGGTCTATGGTTGAGTTCGAGGGTGATTCATGGCCTTCGTAGTCTTGCTCCATGGGTGTTGCCTGGTTATTCTCCAAGCTATGTCAATGGACTAGCTCAGAGATTGGGTCTGGAATTCTAGAGAGAGAGAGAATGAGATTTTGTGGATTTTGGGATTCCAGAGAGAAAAATAATGGGTTTTTGTGTGGCCTTTGGTTTATTTTTGGTCCAGGCTGAAGAGGAATTCCAAAGAGAGAATGAAGAAATCTAGTGACAAAATGAATAATATGCGCAGGGTTTGTCCCTCAATTCGCCTCGATCTTGTAGAGCGAGAAAGAAACCCACGGAAAAGTTTATTAGAGCCGAGGCTCCAAGCAATTAAATTAGAGCCCATCTCATAAATTTTATTAGAAGAAGTTGTTCTGATGCTCAAGTATCTTCAAATTGATAATCTCGACTTCAAGATACATTAATATAGAAAAAAAAAAAAAAATTTTAAAATTTTAAAATAATTCATCTTGTAACACATTTTATACAGTTAATTTTCAAAAAATTTCAAATTTTCATGCATCCACTTGATCTACATTATTTTTAAATTTTAAATTATATAATTATAAATAAAAATATATTTTAATACTATTACAAAGATTTTCGATATAACAACTATACTTTTCGACACAATTTGAAGGTAAGCTCTAATTTGATTGTTTAGAGCCTCTCTACAAAGGGCACCTTTAATGTTTTGGTTGATTTGAATTGATAATAGGATACTTTTTTAATACCGTAAAATCTAACGGTATTTTGAATACCGTAAAAGCTCGTGTATCTATCTTTTACTGAGGATAAATACATAAATACTAAATCAAGATAGGAACACCAATGTTAGTTACAATTATTACACCAAAATTGAAGGAAAAAAAAAGAGGTTGTGGTTTCTATAGGTTGTAACCTTAAACAATCCAATTAAAGAGCACTTTCAAATTTGATTATAATATATAATTTTGATGTAAAATATTTTTAAGATTATCTCAAAATATATTTTTATATCTAATTATAAAATTTTAAATTTTAAAAATAGTTAAAATAAAGTAGATCTGAAAATTTTAAAAATGATTGGTCTAAATAATGTATTGTGAAACACACTATTTTTGGGATTGAAAATCATTTTTTCTTTCATAATCATACATTCAGATGTCGATATACTCAATTAGAATGTTTTTAAATATTAAAATAATATTTTTTTTGGATTTTTGAGAAGCATATGTAGTTCTAAGTTTTGAGGTTGCAACCTTATATAACCCTCGTTTCTTTTCTTTTCTTTTCTTTTCTTTTTTTTTTTTTTTATTTAAAGGTGTGAGTAATTTCCCAAAAGTAGAAGCACAGGGCTTCTGAAAAGCGTGGCATATTACATAGACGTGCGGGAGCAAAATGTACCTTGCTCCCACGGCAAAAGGCCTTCCTGTTTTGCGGTTCGTCTTTCTCTTAGTTCGTCTCTCTCTCTCATGCTGGACATGGTCGTTCCGCTCTTTTTCTCTCTCATACCACTCTATTCATGCTCGACATTTTGTAGGGTGTTCGGCTCTCTCTCTCATACCAGTCAGTCGATTCTGGGAATTCTCAGTGGTCTCTCTCCGACATGGCCATTGAAGTAGGTACCTTTGAAGACATCTACCCCTCAAGATTCATCTCCTTCCATTTCCCAAACCCCACTTTCTCTCTACACCAAGAACCCCACTTTTCCTCACGGTTCCTCAGAATCGCAGTCCTCGACTCTCCCCATGAAACCCCACCTCATGAATTCACAGTGGGAGCAATGGTGGTTCCAAAAACTCGAGAACGAGACTGGGTTTTCTGCACTAAAAATGGTCATCTCCAACTCCTCTTATCTTCCCAACTATCTCGATTAGTCATTGTCAGTGACATCCCCATTAACAATGAATCCCTCTCATCTTGGGCGTTTTCTCTCTCTAGAAATGGTGATCCCTATGGGCCTCACCTCGAAAAGAGCTTGGCTCCATTGCTTCTCGCTCTAACACCGAAAGCTATGTTCAGAGATGGGATTCCTTCGGTACCGTTCATTTCTTACGATGATGGGGTGATTCGAGGCCTTGTTTTAGAGCAATCCTCAGGCCCAATTGTTGGAGATATGGTGATTGAGAATGTAGAAATTGATCCCAATTGTAAAGAAGTGGATTTTTCTGATGAGAAAACTGAGATGTCAGAGTTCAGGAGGAGGTTGAGGTTCAAGAGAATGCCCAATTTGGTTCAAACTGAGGTACCTCTCATGCCATTGAATTCTTGTTCTGATTTAGTTGCAGAGTTTAGATTAGAATTAGGGTTTCTAGTCCATCCTTATCTCTCTCCAATGGCTGCTGGTCTTGTGCTGGTGAGTCCTTTAATGGAGAAGCTTTTGAACGTAGGGAAAGGGCCGTTGCTTCTTTGTATTGGGGTTGGAGGTGGAGCTCTGCTTATGTTTCTTAGAGAGCACTTTGAAAAAATTGAAATTTTGGGGGTTGAAATTGATGAAATGGTTATCAAAATCGCGAAGAAATACTTTGGATTGATTGAAGATGAACAACTCCAAATTCTTTTAGGAAATGGAATAGAAATGTTGAAATACATGGGTTCAAAAGCTGTTTCTAATGGTTTAGGCCCCACGAATTTGGTAACAATTTGGCATGAAATTATTGCTTCTGAATCTAGCTCTTGCAGAACTTTTTTGCAGTCAAAAATTGGAAAGAAATTAGAGAAGAAAGGTTTTGGGCTCTCCCAATTTCATGTGATTACGATAGACGTAGATTCAGGTGATGCTACAATGGGACTTAGTGCTCCACCTATGGAATTTATTGAAAGGTCTGTTCTTTTAGCAACCAGACTAGCTTTACATGAGCATGGGATTCTTGTTTTGAATGTTCTTCCCTCTAGTAAATCCTTTTATATTGATCTGGTTTGTTCACTCAGAGAATTTTTTGCTGAATTATATCAAATTGAGGTCAGCAATGGTGAGAATTATGTTATCGTTGCCACTTGTTCAGTTATTGGTTCTATAGCTAAAGATGGCCCGATTGTTGAGAAATTGAAGCAGGTAATTCCAAGAAGATACATGGATCAAATAACACAAATTTGAAGATCTTTTTGGAAGATGTTAGGATTCTTATAGTGTTGTAAAATTGTTGGGTAAGAAAATGTTTAATTGCTTACGAGAGTGATCTTCAAGGTCGCAGTCCAATTATATATCAGAGGTATGCAAAATGGCTGGTACAAAAAGACAGAATATGCTCGAAAGCATTAGAATATGGATTTGCAATTGATGAAAAATAGCTTCCTCACCTTCACCTTCTTTGTGATCCTCTTCGGAATCAGAATCGGAATCAGAATCTTGCTCCCTTCAGGATAAATCTAACCCCTTCCTCTATTCCCTCCTACATATATGGGATATTTCAAGAAGTGAACTTCTTTCTTGGTAGCAGGATCCCGGGAAAGGATCGGAAAGAGAATTTCATTATATTTCTGACCAGGAACAAGACCTATCACAAGAATCTTTTATGTTATTCCCATTTTGTTTTTGAGAGACGATCTGGATTCCTGGATTATCCATGACTGGATAAGAATAACCTGAATATCCAGAACCAGAATGTCCTCCTGGAGGTGTAAGAGTTTCAGCTGGTTAGATGGTTTCTGATATATATATATATATATATATATATGTAACCATTACCTACCCATTCTTTTAGATGTGAACATTTCTATAATCAGAACTTATATGGTGTATTAACCATTATATTGATTCATTAACATGCTTTATTTATTCATTTTTCCTGTTTTGTGCCACAATTACTTGCTCATAAGCTTTGAACCCTCCTTTTGTGTATTTGTGAAGAGCAAAAAGGCTCCCATAATCCTTGGTGTATTTATAACGATAAAAAGCACACTCCTTTTGTTTGGCATGAGATCTAACAGTGGAGTATTGTATCATTGATAATTGATGATGGATTTGGGCAGTGACATATTAGGAACTTAATTCTTATGTATATGTTTGGGCATATGACATATTTGGAACTTAATTCTTATGCATATGCCAATGCCGGTTGTTATTTGGACTGACTTAAAGATTGATTTATTCCAACTTATGTGATAGATTAGATTAGTATGACAGAATTACACAGTTAAACACTCAAGGAAAAATGTAGGTGTATAACTTGTTTTGGTGGACTCTTCCAGATGCCTATGATCCCATTTCATTGCTCGCAGAAAGAATGAATGTATCACTTTATGCTCTCATAAGTAAAGGAAGCACAACATAAGTGATAGGATCCTTTTTGCTATTCTCTAAAGTCTATACAAATGCATTTTGGAGAAAAATGACTAGCACCCTGATTCAGATAGAAAAAGTGCTCCCGTCTTAAGAAATTTTAGATTTCAGGCTATATATAGTTATTATGTGTAATGCTGAAATCTATAATTTATTAAAAAATAAAAGTGATATATTTGTGACTGACATGCTATACCTGGTAGTACAGCACAAGCTGGGTTAGAAGCCAGGTGGTGGCCATTTTTCAAATGGGGAAGTGCTTAGAATTTGTTCATCCTTGGGAGCGGGAGCACCTGTATGACATTTGGTTATCAAGGTTTAAAACCCATACTCTTCAACTTCTTTTCTTTTTATTCCAAACCTTGGACTATTTCAAACTCAAACCTCCTCCTAAACAAGGTTGGTAGCTATAGTGTCATATCCAAATAGTTCATCAATTATTTTATATGATGGACACAAGACATCTAAATTTAGTTATTGTCTTTCATCACCATTAGACACAAGACATCTAAATTTAGTTATTGTCTTTCATCACCATTACAACAAGAATGAATCTATTATTATGCACTGTTGAGAAGTATTAATCTGTTGTTGTTATGGTAGCTTAAAAATTGCATGCTTGTGTAGCTGTTCCATTTCATGTATTTGGAGTATTGGCTATCCAAGATCAATATCCATTGGTGACTGCTTAGAGCTCAAACAAACAAGGGGTAGTGGAATCAAACACGAAACAAATGCTGTGAAAGGAATAGCCAGGATGTCGTGGTGGAAACTGCAGATATAATGACAAAGTTGACGGGATAATGGGCTAAGGATGGGTTAAAATCTTCTGAATTGAAGTATAGGGGACCCATAGCATTTAGGAAGGCTAGGGCATTCTGAGAATTAGTCGTGATGATCTTGATGGTAGACCCAGTAGGGTTGTAAAATAGGGGTTTAGCATCCTTTGTGGGTATCAGGATGCATGTTTTGAAATAGGGGTTCAGGATCCTCGGTTTGTATGATCTTTTACCATTACCCATCCATTCTTTTATGTCTGAACATTTTTGTAATCAGCACCACTATGGTACATTGACCATAATATCAGTCCAATAAGGCACTCATTTTTTTTCTTGGCACAATCACTTTCTCATAGTCTCTGAATCCATCTTTAGTGTATTTACAAGAACAAAAAGTGCCCATAATGCATGCTATGGTGATTTATCATGATAAATAGTACTTACCTTTTGTTTGGCATGTGGTCTAACAATGAAATATCGTATTATTGATCATTGATGATGGATACAAGTGTGTGACATGGCGAGGAACATTATGTTTATTCATATGCCAACTCAGAACTTATAATGTAGATTTTGACTTGTTTAAATATTGAATCATGCCAGCATTAGATGATGGATTAGACGGCAAACTACAATTTACACATCCACGAAAAAAAGGAAAAATTATTTAGGACTGGGTTTTTTACGGGAATCACAGTGGTCCAAATTTTCAAGAAGTTTACATGGAGATCCCTATGGCTTTTTTTTCTTTTTTTTTAATTTCAGATTTGCCTATGGTCTAATGTTGCAAATATCAAACCGTTTTTTATTTTAGTTTTTTCAATTTCTGTGAAGCTAGGGCTGTCTGGTGTCCCATATATCGGTTGGACCCATTTTTGTGGCTGTCCGGACCACCCCATACTTATCATTTTTTTTGAGTTATACATGTCCAATTTCTCCAACATCCTACGACAGAATAGGAAACGTGTGAATTAGAAAATCAGTTCGGTTTATGCCAGGGAGGTCAACATTGAGGCTATTTTGCTACGTAAGCGATTGATTGAGAAGTTTAGGGAGAAGAGAAAAGACTTCCATATGAATACGGAAGGGTACCTAGAGAGTTAATTTGGTGGTTGTTGAGAAAGAAAGGAGTCTCTAGAGGATATATTGATATGATGAGTGATAATGTTCAAGGGAGTGCTAATTAGTATGTGAGCAACTAGTGGAGAGACAAGTGAATTTCCAGTGATAGTAGGCCTACATCAGGGGTTAGCATTGAGCCCTCCCATATATCTGTGTTTTGGTTATGGACGAGTTAATGAGGCATCTAAGGATGAGGTACCGTGGTGTATGTTGTTTGCGATGACATTGCCTTGATTGATGAGACTAGAAACAGCGTCAACAAAAAGTTGGAACTTTGGATAGATGCTTTAGAATCTAAAGGTTTTAAAATTAACTGGACTAAGACAAAATATATTGAATAAAAAATTTGTAACAATAGGGGTAGAAATGAAGAATAATTAAGATCAAGGTTTTAAAAAATGCTATTCTAATCTAGATTTGCCGATCTGGATTGGACATCGTCGAAGCCGTTCTGAATCCACTAATAAAACGGGATCCGGCCGTGTTGCTACAGTGAGTCGCTTGTATGACATCACGGATCGGACACATCATCGGTCCGTACCGGTTTTGACATCATGGAACGGTTCTTACATTAGCGAGCCGGTTTATTTTAAAACACGTTTTTTTATTGAGTATATGTTTTAAAACACTCTTTTTTTTTTATTGAGATCAGTGTTTGAAAAATCACGTGGCACATGAATACTTGCGCGCCGCACAAGCTGCAAACCTGACACATGCTGAGCTCACCTACTGCGTGAGCACCTTATGTGGACAATAAAGTGAGTTCTAACATTTTATACCCTCATTTCCTCCCACAATCCAGTGATGTGGGATATTTCTTTTTGACCTTCTTTCGAATGTTTCCATTAATCTATGTCTCTCTCTCTCTGTCTCTCTCTCTATCTCTCTCTTTTATATGAGGATATAGACTATATCCTATAAAATGAAATGGTCTAAAATATAAAATTTATTTATTTTTTAGATTAATTATATTGATTTTTCTTTTTTTATAATTTACAAAAAATATAGTACATATAATTAAGTTTATAACTACAAAAAATGAATTACATATAATAATTTTACAAAAATTAATATTATAACTTATAAGACATTTTAGATTTGTTCTTATTTGTATAATAAAATAATTATAAAATATAAACCAAGAATTTCAATTTCAGTAAATAATATTATAGTTAATTAGGTTGTGATAATTTTGGATGAGTAAAGCGATTGAATAAATATTTGATACTTTGATGTGATACTAATTTTACTTTATATGAAAAATTATTTTGTTAATCTTATAATATGGAAGCGTTTTCTAATATTTTTAAATTATTTTTTATTGTGATGCAATATTTTTTATAATGTTAAACTATTTTGATGTAATATTATAGTACTATATTATAATTAATAATTATACAGACATCCAGACAGGAAAACAATGTCTCAATATTCACCTATTTTTGCAAAGTAATGAAAGTACATAATGCACTACTCTTAATTTCTTTTAGAAACTAAAAGAACACGATTTTTAGAGATTTATGGTGAGTTTTTGAAGAGCTTTTGGGACAAAACTTGCCAATTCGGTTGATTCTCCGATCCGACACGCCGATCCACCTATCCAACATGGTTTTGGGTGGACGATCCGGGTCACCGATCTGTATTTTTAAACCTTGGTTAGATTGATGGCCAAGAATATCCCCATAAGAGATATTTTTGATATATTGGGTCGATAATCTCATGAGAATGGAGAGATTGAGGAAGATATTGCGCATAGAATTAGAGTTAAGTGGACGAAGTAGATACGTGCTTCTGGAGTCCTATGTGATCACCGCATACCAATGAAACTAAAGGGGAAGTTCTATAGGACAGCTGTAAGACTAGTCATGCCTTATGGGACGGAATGTTGGGCTGTTTCTAACAACATATATCCATAGAATGAAGTAGTTGAGATGAGCATGTTGAGATGGATGAGTGACAATACAAAAAAGCATAGAATGCATAATGAATACATCTGAAGGAACTTAGGGGTGGCTCTAATAGGCGATAAGATGAGGAAATTATACTTAGGTGGTCTAGCTATATACAACATCCACCTAGAACAAAACCGGTTCCGAGGCGCAATTTGGTTCAAGTGGAAGGCTCTAAAAGGGCAAGGCCTTAAGGAGAAGGTCCAAAAGGACATGGATAGAAGTAGTGAGAAGAGATATGGTGACTCATGGTCTGATTGAGGACATGGCCCTTGATAGAACAGACTGGCGGTACAGGATTTGTAGAGGCCGACCCCAAATAGTTGGGATAAGGCTCAGATGATGATGATGATGGATGTCTCCAACATCCAACTGCATTTGAAATAAAAAAATAAAATAGAATTAGGCCAGTCTGATATCTCGAACATCGGACCAACCAATACTACTTAGCAATTAAAATATCTTTCTTATGAAGCCTTCTATGTCTTCCTTTATTATTTTAGTTTTCAACTTCTTCTGTATAATTTCGTAACTAGAGCCATCTCGTGTGTCTCATCTCTATCTGCCATCACATGTTATATTCCAATATGTTGAATCCTTACACGGCTTTGTTGACATTTGCATTGACAATAAATGTGACTCAAAGATCCCTTCCCTGACATATCTAGCACTGTTACTCATTGTACCTGCATAAAATCTGTGTAAGGATAGGCTGGTGTCCTTCTGAAGTAGACCCTAGGTTTTTCAGTGGGCATGTTTAGCCTACACTATGGAGTGATTGACTTCTTCGGGTTGACCCACCCTTGGCAAGCCCTCACTGATAAGAGTATCGCAGATTGCCTATTTTAGTTGCTAGGTGGTATTGGCTGGTCCGATGTTTGGGATATTGGACTGACCTAATTTTATTTATTTTTTATTTCAAATGCAGTCCGATGTTGGAGACATCAGACCGATCTAGTTTAAAAAAATGCTAGATATCTGGTGGTCTGATGTGTGCAATGTTGGACAACCCAAAAAATGGGTTGGTCCGATATCTGGAGTATCAGATAGCCCTAGTGTTTGTAAGAATTGATAAAAGTAAA